AACAAACAAATAAATAAATAAAAATTAAACAATAAAATATAACAAAAAAAATATAATATATGATGCAGGAACTGATCATCTATTGCCTATAACATCATATAAAATTGATAAAACATGACTGTGCTAGTGATCATTTGTGAAATCTAATGGTGAGCAAAAATCAATAAATATATGCACATAAAAAGTCCTCTTCCAATGTAAATTGCAATGGTGAAATACTACTCCCACAATCCAAGTGCAGTGTGGTCTTAATATGCGCTCACCTTAAGTTTTGCCTAACTAAATAGGCAAAACTGGCTTTTTGTCCTTACAGGACTGATGAGATAATCCTCCTGTGTGGGGTTTTCCGAATGGCAAATAGATGGTTGTAATTGGATCTTAATCCACCTGGGGTCTCTGCAGTAATTGTGACTGATGTTTGTCAGGAATGGATGGATGGATAGATATCTCCCTTTTTCCCCTCCAGGGGTCTCTTTCCTCCTGTATCAATCTCTCTCCAGTGTATCACGGATGAATAACATAAGAGAAAAAGAAACCATGGTGCCTTATCCTTTTTAAAAGATGTATTTTATTACTGCTGGATATACCACTCACATTGATTACGTTTGCAGTAAGTAGAAAAAAAAATGTCAGCATGGCCTGCAGTCTCTGCTATACTCGCCGTGCTTATTCGAGACAACATTGTGACGTCAGAGCCCCTCCCCTTCGCGTTGCGTCACCAGGTCACGTGACTTCATCAGGGGAAATTGTATTTAACATGGTAAAACGCTAATTTTACTGTGTGTACTGTAACACATCAGTATGAAAGGGCCCTAAACCTTTCATCCAACCTATAACTTACTGCATTTGTTATTTAAAAAAAAAAAAAAATTAAAAAACCAGCAGCAGTGAAGAAACAATTGTGGGTTTTGTTGTGGGGTAATTCCTTTTGTTTACATACTTTCTGCTGAAAGGTGTCCCTCTGTCATCTCATCACCTTTCATAACATGTCACACCCATATTCAGGGCGTAACATGTTATGATCTGACCGGTCCCCGCAGCACCCCCCCCCCCCAAGGACTGATAGTGGGGGATCTTCCCCCCCCTCGCTAGCTATCACAATTTTAAAAAAATGTGGTTGTGCGGGGCTCAGCATTCTGTGAATGGGGAAAAAGTCCCAGCAGCCTTTGTGGCTGTCAGCTTGTAGTTTTCAATGAACTACCATGGCGCCGTCGTAGTTCATTAAGCCTTGCTGTCAGTAGCAGGGGTGGACTGACAGCTCATGGGGCCCCCGGGCAATAGGGGATCATGGGGCCCCTGTGTCCTTGCCCAAACTCAAAAAAGCCTATGAAAAAGGTACCAGGGGCATCTCATGGGGCCCCCTACCGACCCTGGACCCTCAGGCACTGCCCGAGTTTCCAAATGGTCAGTCCGCCCCTGGTCAGTAGTATCTGCTTGTATCGGATGTACCAGCAAGCAGATATACTGACAGGTCAAGGGGAGACCTGCATGATACCAGCAATCTGCTGTGCAATGCTTTGGAGGCTCCATAAACAAAAAATAATAATTTCACATTTTTTTTACCTGCAAGAAAATGTGCATTTAATATTTTTTTGTTAAAAGGTGAACTTATCCTTTTAAGGGCTTGTTAACACTATAGGTTGTGGGGGGGAAACCATGCAGTCGGGCTGTTTTCAAATTTGACATAGTACGGGAGTCTCCCGTACTATCTGTCAGAGGGAGTGGAGGCCGGCTGCGGCTATGGGAATATGTTACATGTTTCACCCTAACCCCTGGTTCACATATCTGCTGCCGTGCGGGTCGTGTTTTGCACGGGCACAAGAGCCCATTCATTTGAATGGACTCCCTTGCCCCGGGACACGCAGGGAAAAAGTCCCTGCACTTCTTCGTAAAACGCAGCCTACACAAGAACCGAGGATCTAAATACGGTTGTGATCTCCATTGTGGGTGACGTGGCATTAGAATTAATAGCACCTGCCCGTGGGTCCGCATTCCTCTGTGCGGGTGTATTTTTGTGCGGATCCGCAGCGGCACCACCTGCACAGATGTGAACCTGGCCTTAAAATAGGTGGAACATGTAACATGTTCCCAAAGGTGAACTTATCCTTTAATGAATTTGGCCACAAAGTATATCGCTCTCTTGAGCTCAAAAGGAAGAGAAGCAAACCATAGTGCTCACCACTTAAACACACTTTTATAAATACACTGACATGTGACCTGTAAGAGAAAACCAAACAGGTGCTTCTGAATGGCCTCAGCCTGTATGAGATTCAGTGCTTTCCAGGAACACACTCAAGCCCTTGTGCAATCAGCTCAATCTAGGATTTCTGTAGCTCTGCCCAACATATTTTGTGACAAATGATATCAGGGGCATGGGATACAGTGATGATTAGAGCAGGGGCGGACTGACAACTCATGGGGCCCCCGAGCAATAGGGGATCATGGGGCCCCTGTGTCCTTGCCCAAACTCAAAAAAGCCTATGAAAAAGGTACCAGGGGCATCTCATGGGGCCCCCTACTGACCCCGGGCCCTCGGGCAGTGCCCGAGTTTCCAAATGGTCAGTCCGCCCCTGGATTAGAGGTGTATTTATCCAGGAGCGGACTTGAAGATTTGAAAAGCCAGAGTTCTGCTAAAATTTTTGCTCAAGTCAGTTATTTAATGTAAGGAAGTGAAAGGGTTCTTAATGATAGTCAGGCAACTAGTTTTTTTATTTATTTTTTATTTTTAGGGAAAGATAGCAATGGCAGCCTCTGTGACAGTTTTACAAGCTACTGAACAAGGAAATATCCCTAATGCCACTCTATAAAACTCACACTTTGTGTATTTGTTGGCTAATTATTTTCAGTAAACAGAAACCTAAATATCTTTTGTACCTGCAATAAAGCACCATGCATTTTGCTATTCTCCCAGGATGATGAGCATAGTATATACTTGTGTGCACACAGTCTTACCCTAGGTTCACATGTGCATTTTTTGGAAAGGATCAGACACTTTTTTGAATGCAAAACGTTCAGTTTTTATTTCTATAGACTTCAATGGAAATGCTGCAGAAAAGCATGTATTGCATTGCCGTGTTTTTGATGCATTAGCAATAAAAAAGGAAAGAAAAAAAAAACGCAAGTGCAAAAACGCACCGCAAACTGCAATGCAGGAACATCTGAAACGCAACCTGCATAGGTGTGAACCTAGCCTTAGGCTTAAGCTAGCCATACATGGATCGAAATTAGGCTGGTTCAGCAGGGACTGCTTGTATGGGCACTGTGGTTGTACAGAAGGCAATTGAATTCTGTACAACTGCCTGGTCAGTTTTTCGTCGCTCAATCCGTTTTTGCCGCTCTAGCCGGAAGAGCTGATCAGTGTATTCTGATGGTGGGGAAGATCAATAGCTTAGTGGGAGGATTCACCCTTCTATATAAAATGTGTGGATGAAGGAATTGAGTCAGTTGTGGGGTTTTTTTTTTTGTGTTATTGTTTTATTTTTTGTTTTTTTTGTTCAACCAGCTGGTTGAACAAAAAAACTTAATGTATGCCTTTTTGGTCTTTTAGAAATTTTTCTGACCTGTACTGGTGTATGTGCTGTATACTTTAGTGATTCCTGTGGGAATCTGTCAAACTGTCCATGGATTTTTACCAAAAATAAACATAAAACTACTACATGAACAATTAAATACAAATAGACTTCTAATGGTTTCAGCCAGATCCTGTACAGCACCAGGCCAGCCTCAGAGTGAAGATCTCCAGATTGTAGGTAAGCATAGCCTATGTTCAATTTGCTGGAGGAGGGAGGTAAGAAAGGATAAATGGGCTAAAATAACACTCTTTTCTCAACACTGCAGACAAATGTTTACATTACAGAATACACAGCACAAGGTCACTTGGAAATTCCCAGCAATGGACTTAAAGTGGCTTTAAAGCCTAAACATGTTTTGCCTTAACCACTTCAAGTCCGGACACTTTTACCCCCTTCTTGTCCAGGCCAATTTTCAGCTTTCAGCGCTATCACACTTTGACAATTTCGCGGTCATGCAACACTGTACCCATATGAATTTTTTAGCATTGTTTTGAGACGGATAACGCTTTATTTTGGTGGTATTTACTCACCACCGGGATTTTTATTTTTTTTGCTATATAAATGAAAAAGTCCAAAAAATTTTGAAAAAAGTGTTTTTGTTATAAAATTTTTCAAATAAATAATATTTCATCATAAATCTTGGCCAAAATGTATTCAGTTATGTTTTTAGTAAAAAAAATAAATAAAATAACCCAAATTAGTTTATAGCCAAAAATTATAATTTAACTTTTTTTTTTTTTTTTATATTATATTATTATTATGGTTTTTTTCTATATATACTGTCACCCTAGCAGTACAGTGGTGACACTGTACTACTTGTGGGGGGGTGATGAAGATTTTTTTTTTTTACACTGCTTTTACCCATAAAGGCTGTAAAAGCAATAATTTCTCCTCTCTGGCAGCCATTGAGAACTACTGTGTGAGCTGTGATTGGTCACAGCTTGTCACATGGTACAAGGCTGTTGTGAATAGCCTTGTACCATGTGACCTCTGTGATTTCACACACAGTAAGCAATGATGTCAGAAGTGACATCTTGCTTACTACTCTGCATGTGATCACTGATTGGCAATAAAAAACCTGACAAAGGTTCCAGCCCTTCCACATTCTACCCAAAACTAAATGATTTTTAAAGTGTGGCTTCACAAGCATATATTTCCTGGCATATTGAAACATCTGTTTTTTTTTCTCAGGTTTAGCTGGTCTGCGTACTAGTTTAAGTTAAATAACTCCTCTTACGTCATAACAGCCAGGGAACTAGCTTTTTCTAAAACATGGCAGCCCTCCTGTTTCTCTCTCTTCACACAAGACAATTGCTGCAAATTTGGCCAGATTAATGGACAATCCGAGTAGCGTTACCCCACTACCCAGGCCAGATAAGCACTGTCTTGGGGTCTGATTGATTGGACAGATTGGGAGGAGTTTGACACACCTGAGTGATTTGGTATTTTTTCCCAATAAAAGCTGCCATCAGCATCTTTTGTCTATATTCCTTCTTCATTCTCCCTTGTCTCCATTCATCAAAGCTTGGGTGAGCACAGCATGTATTAATGTAATGGTTGCCCAACAGACGTGACTCCTAGCCAGGGGCGGACTGACCATTTGGGAACTCGGGCACTGCCCAAGGGCCCGGGGTCAGTAGGGGGCCCATGAGATGCCCCTGGTACATTTTTCATAGGCTTTTTTGAGTTAGCGCAAGGACACAGGGGCCCCATAATCCCCTATTTCCAGGGGGCCGCATGAGTTGTCAGTCCGCCCCTGCTCCTAGCTTAAAGTGGCTGTCTAGATTACAGTGAACTTTGGTGAGGTGCTTCTTGGGAGTGAATAGAGCAATGGAGTAGGAAAGGTAATTATAAGTTGCAGAGGAGTCTGGTTTTGGACAAAGTACAGATTGTCTTAAATAGAGATGAGCGAATCGAACCAGGCGAAGTGGAATTCGTTTAGAATTTCAAGAAAAATTCGATTCGCGTCGACGAATCCGAATATTAGCATAATTCGGGTGCGCGAATCGGATTTTTCCCGATCAGCCGGCAAAAGTGTCCCTGCAGAGAGCTCCGCTATTTCTGACAGTTCTCTGACAGTTCCTTCACATGTACAGCGGTTGAAACATTGTATCTATTTTTGCTGTACTGGAATACTTCTTCTTTTCATTCTTCTTTTCATTCTTCTCATTCTTCTTTTTCATTCTTCTTTTTATTCTTCTTCTCATTCTTCTTTTTCATTCTTCTTCTTCTTTTCATTCTTCTTTTCATTCTTCTTTTCTTTTTCTTCAAGAAAAGAAGAATGAGAAGAAGAATGAAAAGAAGAATGAAAAGAAGAATGAAGAAGAAAAGAAAAGAAGAATGAAAGAAGAATGAAAAGAAGAATGAGAAGAAGAATGAGAAGAAGAATGAAGAAGAAGAATGAAAGAAATGAAAAGAAGAATGAAAAGAAGAATGAAAAGAAGAATGAAAGAATGAAAAGAAGAATGAAAAAGAAAAAAGAAGAATGAAAAAGAAGAATGAAAAAGAAGAAGAAGAAGAATCATTCTTCTTTCTTCTTTTCATTCTTCTTTTCATTCTTCTTCTTCTTCTTTTCATTCTTCTTCTTCTTTTCATTCTTCTTTTCATTCTTCTTCTTCTTCTTTTCATTCTTTTCTTCTTTTCATTTCATCTTTTTCATTCTTCTTCTTCTTCTTTTCTTTCTTCTTCTCTCTTCTTCTTCTTCTTCTTCTTCTTCTTTTCTTCTTTTTCATTCTTCTTCTTCATTCTTCTTTTTCATTCTTCTTTCTTTCATTCTTCTTTTCTTTCTTCTTCTTCTTCTTTTCATTCTTCTTTTCATTCTTCTTCTTTTTTCATTCTTCTTCTTCTTCTTTTCATTCTTCTTTTCATTCTTCTTTTCATTCTTCTTTTCATTCTTCTTCTTCTTCTTTCTTTTCATTCTTCTTCTTCTTTTCATTCTTCTTTTCATTCTTCTTTTCATTTCTTCTTTTCTTCTTCATGAAAAGAAGAATGAAAAGAAGAAGAATGAAAAAGAAGAATGAAAAGAAGAAGAAGAATGAAAAGAAGAATGAAAGAAGAATGAAAAGAAGAATGAAAAGAAGAATGAAAGAATGAAAAGAAAAGAAGAATGAAAAGAAGAATGAAAGAAGAATGAGAAGAATGAAAAGAAGAATGAAAGAATGAAAAGAAGAATGAAAAGAAGAAGAATGAAAAAAAGAAGAATGAAAAGAAGAAGAAGAAGAATCTTTTCATTCTTCTCATTCTTCTTTTCATTTTTCTTCTTCTTTTTCTTCTTCTTTTCATTCTTCTTTTCATTCTTCTTCATTCTTCTTCTTCATTCTTTCTTCTTCTTTTCATTCTTTTCATTTCTTCTTCTTCTTCTTTCTTCTTTTCATTCTTCTTCTTCTTCTTCTTCTTCTTCTTCTTCTTTTTCATTCTTCTTTTCTTTCATTTTCTTTTCATTCTTCTTCTTCTTTTCATTCTTTTTCATTTCTTCTTCTTTTCTTCTTCTTCTTCTTCTTCTTCTTCTTTTCTTCTTTCTTCTTTTTTTCTTCTTTTTCTTCTTTTCTTCTTTTTTCTTCTTCATGAAAAGAAGAATGAAAAAGAAGAAGAATGAAAAGAAAGAAGAAGAATGAAAAGAAGAATGAAAGAAGAAGAAGAAGAATGAATGAAAAAGAAAGAATGAGAAGAATGAATGAGAAGAATGAAAAAAAATGAAAGAAAAAGAAGAATGAAAGAATGAAAAGAAGAAGAAGAAAAAAGAAGAATGAAAAGAAGAATGAAGAAGAAGAAATGAAAAGAATGAAAAGAATGAAAAGAAGAATGAAAAGAAGAAGAAAAGAAGAAGAAGAAGAATTTCAAAATTCTTCTTTTCAAGAATCTTTTCTTTTCTTCTTCTTCTTCTTTTCATTCTTCTTCTTCTTTTCATTCTTCTTTTCTTCTTTTCTTCTTCTTCTCATTCTTCTTTTCTTTTCTTCTTCTTCTTCTTTTTTCTTCTTCTTCTTCTTTTCATTCTTCTTTTCTTCTTCTTCTTCTTCTTCTTCTTCATTCTTTCTTTTCATTCTTCTTCTTTTTCATTCTTCTTCTTCTTTTTCATTCTTCTTCTTCTTCTTCTTTCTTCTTCTTTTCATTCTTCTTTTCATTCTTCTTCTTCATTTTCTTCTTCTTCTTTCTTCTTTTCATTCTTCTTTTCATTCTTCTTTCTTCTTTTTCTTCTTTCATTCTTCTTTCATTCTTCTCATTCTTCTTTTTCATTCTTCTTCTTCTTCTTCTTCTTCATTCTTCTTTTCATTCTTCTCATTCTTCTCTTCTTCTTTTCTTCTTCATGAAAAGAAGAATGAAAAGAAGAATGAAAAGAAGAAAAGAAAGAATTCTTCTTTTCAGAAGAAGAATGAAAAGAAGAATGAAAAGAAGAATGAGAAGAAAAGAAAATGAAAGAATGAAAGAAGAATGAAAAGAAGAATGAGAAGAATGAAAAGAAGAATGAAAAGAAGAATGAAAAGAAGAATGAAAAGAAGAATGAAAAAATGAAAGAAGAAGAAGAAGAAGAAAAGAAGAAAAAGAAGAATGAGAATGAAAAATGAAAAGAAGAAGAAGAAGAATGAATTCTTCTCATTCTTCTTTTCTTTCTTTCTTCTTCTTCTTCTTCTTCTTCTTTCTTCTTCTTCTTCTTCTTTTCATTCTTCTTTTCATTCTTCATTCTTCTTTTCTTCTTCTTCTTCTTCTTCTTCTTTCTTTTCTTCTTTTCTTCTTCTTCTTTTCATTCTTCTTCTTCTTCTTTTCATTCTTCTTTTCATTCTTCTTCTTCTTCTTTTCATTCTTCTTCTTCTTCTTTTCATTCTTCTTTTCTTTTCTTCTTCTTTTCTTCTTCTTTTTTTCTTCTTCATTCTTCTTCTTTTCTTCTTTTTTCTTCTTTTTCTTCTTTTTCTTCTTCTTTTCTTTTCTTCTTCTTCTTTTCATTCTTTTTTCTTCTTCTTCATTCTTCTTCTTTCTTTTCTTCTTCTTCTTCTTCTTCTTCTCTTCTTCTTTTCTTCTTCTTCTTTTCTTCTTCTTTCTTCTTTTCTTCTTCTTCTTCTTTTCATTCTTCTTTTCATTCTTCTTCTTCTTTTTCATCATCTTCTTTTCATTCTTCTTTTCATTCTTCTTTTCATTCTTCTTTTCTTCTTCTCATTCTTCTTCTTCTTCTTTCTTCTTCTTCATTCTTCTTCTTTCTTCTTCTTTTCAATGATTCTTCTCATTCTTCTTTTCTTCTTCATGAAAAGAAGAATGAGAAGAAGAATGAAAATGAAAAGAAGAATGAAAAGAAGAATGAAGAAGAAGAAGAAGAATGAAAAGAAGAATGAAAAGAAATGAGAAGAAGAATGAAAGAAGAAGAAGAATGAAGAAGAAGAAGAATGAAAAGAAGAATGAAAGAAGAATGAAAGAAGAAAAGAAAATGAAAAGAAGAAGAATGAAAAGAAGAATGAAAAGAAGAATGAGAAGAAGAATGAAAGAATGAAAGAAGAATGAAGAAGAATGAAAAAGAATGAAAAGAAGAATGAAAAAGAAAATGAAGAAGAAGAATGAGAAGAAGAATGAAAAGAAATGAAAAGAAGAATGAAAAGAAGAATGAGAAGAAAGAAAAAGAAGAATGAAAAGAAGAATGAAAAGAAGAAGAAAAGAAGAAGAAGAATGAAAAAGAAGAAGAAGAATCTTTTCATTCTTAAGAAGAATTCCAAGCCGGCAAAAAAGTGTATCTGCAGAGCTCCTCTAAGTGTATCTGCAGTAAGAATGTATCTGCATTCACCGCTAAGTGTATCTGCAGAGCTCAGCGGTTGAAACATTGTATCTATTTGTTTCCATTTATGGAAACAAATAGATACAATGTTTCAACCGCTGTAAATGTGAATGTCAGAGAACTGTCAGAAATAGAGCGAGCTCTGCAGATACACTTAGCGGAGCTCTGCAGATACACTTCTGACAGTTCTCTGACATTCACTCCATACAGAGGTTGAAACTTTGTATCTATTTGTTTCCATTTATGTGCACACCCCCCCCCCCCAGGGACTGCTGGTTCAATGGGTCCTATGATACTGGTGTTGAAACCTCTACTTCGAGACACCCAGTTAAATGTACACAGTTTAAGGTTTGACACCAGTCCTTTCTCAAAAAGGTGGACAAACATGGTTGCAGAGTAAGACTGTTAAAGGTAAGAACATATAAACATTGACCATATGTCAGCAACAACTGATAAAGGATATGACAGGTCAGATAAGATAAAATATATTGTTTACCATACAAGGTAAGTTTTTATACAAAATCATACAAGTATAACAACAAGAAAGATGATAGGGCCTACTATCTACCCATCAGCTTAAATAGTACAGGTGAAACTCGAAAAATTAGAATATCGTGCAAAAGTTAATTTATTTCAGCAATGCAACTTAAAAGGAGAAACTAATATATGAGATAGACTCATTGCATGCAAAGCAAGATAGTTCAAGCCGTGATTTGTCATAATTGTGATGACTATGGCTTACAGCTCATGAAAACCCCAAATCCACAATCTCAGAAAATGAGAATATTATATGCAATCACTAAAACAAGGATTGTACATAGAACAATATCAGACCTCTGAAAAGTATAAGCATGCATATGTACTCAGTACTTGGAAGAAAAAGGCGCACAAGCAGTACGTATGACCGCAGCCTGTTAGGATTGTCAGGAAAAGGCCATTCAAACGTGTTGGGGACTTTCACAAGGAGTGGACTGAGGCTGGAGTCAGTGCATCAAATGCCACCACACACAGACGGATCCTGGACATGGGCTTCAAATGTTGTATTCCTCTTGTCAAGCCACTGCTGAACAACAAACAATGTCAGAAGCATCTTACTTGGGCTAAAGAAAAACAGACCTGGTCTGTTGTTCAGTGGTCCAAAGTCCTCTTTTCTGATGAGAGCAACTTTTGCATTTCATTTGGAAACCAAGGACCCAGAGTATGGAGGAAGAATGGAGAGGCACACACTGCAAGATGCTTGAAGTCCAGTGTGAAGTTTCCAGTCTGTGTTGATTTGGAGAGCCATGTCATCTGCTGGTGTTAGTCCACTGTGCTTCATTAAGTCCAGGGTCAACGCAGGAGATTTTGGAGCACTTCATGATTCCTTCCGCAGACGAGCTTTATGGCGATGCCGACTTTATTTTCCAGCAGGACTTGGCACCTGCCCACACTGCCAAAAGCACCAAAACCTGGTTCAATGACAGTGGGATTACTGTGCTCGATTGGCCAGCAAACTTGCCTGACCTGAACCCCATAGAGAATCTATGGGGCATTGTCAAGAGAAAGATGAGAGACATGAGACCGAACAATGCAGAAGAGCTGAAGGCCGCTATTGAAGCATCCTGGTCTTCCATAACACCTCAGCAGTGCCACAGGCTGATAGCTTCCATGCCACGCTGCATTGAGGCAGTAATTGCTGCAAAAGACGTCCCAAACCAAGTACTGAGTACATATGCATGCTTATACTTTTCAGAGGTCCGATATTGTTCTATGTACAATCCTTGTTTTAGTGATTGCATGTAATATTCTAATTTTCTGATATTGTGGATTTGGGGTTTTCATGAGCTGTAAGCCATAATCATCACAATTATGACAAATCACGGCTTGAACTATCCTTGCTTTGCATGTAATGAGTCTATCTCATATATTAGTTTTACCTTTTAAGTTGCATTACTGAAATAAATGAACTTTTGCACGATATTCTAATTTTTCGAGTTTCACCTGTATGTAGGCAGTTTGTCTACTAGGTAGGCAGTTAGTTGCTGCCCTGGCCGGGAGTGATGGGGTAAACTTGTCACAGGTTTGATTTGTGGTGTTGGGTTAAGTGAGAAATGAACAGACCATGACCAGACAGAACTTACAATGGGTAAGAAATAATTCAAAGCAAAGTGAGTTCCAGAGTACTGGGACAGTCCTCAGTAGAAGCTGTGGTATTCATATTGGATGCTAACACTGGCGACCCTGCTTGCTTCCCTAGTATGAGCTGGAGTAGATAGGCGATGGATATGGTGATAATCTCTCTTTACTGGTGACACTGTTGCTCAGACTATGATGCTGACAGAGGCGCTGATCACTGGAACGTGTCTGTATTCTTCTCTGTCCGGGCGCTAACTGCCCCGACCCTTTCCGGGCAGTCCACGATCAGTCCCTCCACTTCTCCCTTCATACTATGGCCCCCTGGGAAGTGTACAGTACCTACATATCTCACAATCCCATTCAGCGGAATCTTCTTCTCCATGGCTTGATGCTGCCCAATCAGTGGAGAACACAGAAGTTCCATGTAGATGGAGCAGTCTAACATGCTGGGATCTGTAGTTTCTGCACTAACAGTCTCTGCAGTCTCTTTTCTACTCTTAAATTGTCTGACTGCCAGCACCTGGCTACACGTGTGTTGCGGGAGCTACAGCTAGAAACCTTAATTCACCGCGGAAAGCATGCTTTTAGTCCTTGGTTGCGTGTTTTTTGTTTTTTTTTGCAAACTTTGTACTATTTTCACTTTAAATTTCAGACAAAAAATGGCTGGATTTTAGAAAAATCATGTCATTGTATATAGTAGTATTTAAGCAGCTGTCTATTCAGTAAAAATGGAAGGTCCTTGTTGGGGGAGTTCATAGAAGAAAAACAGGTTGGGTAGATCTGCAGCAGGTAACAGACTTGACAAGCCTCAGGGGTATTTTCTTATTCTGTTAAGCTGTGTGAAATATTTACTATAAGAAGCAAGCTGCCCTGCAGTTTCTCATGTTGTGGACACTAAGATAATACATTGTGTACATATGCATTTTATGTGTAGCGGGACCCCTGTGAGAGCAAGCAGTTCCACAGGTCCGTGAATCTTTTCCCCACAGCTGCCCTGCAGCCAGGCACATATACACATTCACTACATCAGTTCAAGAAACAGTCTAGGGGTGGACTGACCATTTGGAAACTCGGGCACTGCCCGAGGGCCCAGAGTCAGTAGGGGGCCCCATGAGATGCCCCTGGTACCTTTTTCATAGGCTTTTTTGAGTTTTGGGCAAGGACACAGGAGCCCCATGATCCCTATTGCCCGGGGGCCCCATGAGTTTTCAGTCCGCCCCTGGTCTAGGGGTTGGTGTTTTTGATGATATAGTAAATGATTGAACTAGGATGGGGAAGGGAAGTAGTAGGATACTCCAAAACTCTCTGGAACAAACTTGAGGACACTAAACTTGCTTCTTGAAACACTGAGCACAGTCCCCTTATGAGCAGATGGTGGACAGGCTGTGCAGTAACAGTATTGAGGAGGTTGAGCCTTCCCCGGCAGCAGTCCGAGCAACAGCCCCTTCACAAGCAGGAATGGATAGACTATGCTCTTACAGGCATATGTTTTTTTGCAAACACTCAGCGGACCCTCTAACACATGAGGGGTGGTAGCAGCACTCTAGGTGCTAGTTTCTAGGATCGCACATTTGTTTGTACTCACTGATACCTCAGGACAAATGGTTGCCTCCTACCAGTATCCTGCAGGCAGTTTTTTCCCAGTAGTATCAGGTCAGATCTTCAGATGTAGCCCTCCAGCCTCCCCAGCTGGAGCTTCCACTTGGTAAGCACATAGCCCCCTAGGCTGTGATCTTTCCCTCTGGAAGAAAAGGCTGCTCTCTGCTCCAGGGTATTTATACCTTCTCCCAGAATCCTTCTGGGCCAGGCCTCCCAGGGATTGGCTGGGGCTACATATACAGGTGAAACTCGAAAAATTTGAATATTGAGCAAAAGTTCATTTATATTTCAGTAATGATACTTAAAAGGTGAAACTAATATATGAGATAGACTCAATACATGCAAAGCAAGATAGTTCAAGCTGCGATTTGTCATAATTGTGATGATTATGGCTTACAGCTCATGAAAAAGTGGTAGTCTTTAAAGGGTTTGAATAATTGTGGGAATGAGAAGAAAACACATATAGAACCAATTTAACTACTGTATTACATAACACAATTGATGTCATTTTAGTTGCCCAAATCCCATCTCAGAAAATGAGAATATTGTGAAAAGGTGCAATATTCTCGGCTCAAAGTGTCCCCACTCTAATCAGCTAATTAAGCCATAACACCTGTAAAAATAGGTATAAGTGAGCGCTAAAGGTAACGAAGCTGCTGAACACAAAAAGGTACCAAAAAACAACCTCCAAAGACTCATATATAAAAAAGGTGCAGCGCTTATATATTAAAACATGCAAGATATCAAAATGCAAGAGTATATCCCTGCAAAACGCAGGCAGGGTATAGTTATTATACTGCCCCTTATAGTCTCAATTAACACACAAATATATAGTTCACAATCTCCCAGTGGGTAGGGTGAGGTGAAGGATCAAATGGATCTGAAATGAAATTGCAATCTCATTCCAACTGCTGAAGTTGCAATTTCATTTCAACTGCTAACACTACCAGAGTTGAAGAAGAGCTGCACTCCTCTGTGATCCACCCTGCAAAACGCACTGAGAAAGTGACCGCATTGTCTACAGCAACCTCATCCAGTGATCCAGAGTAAAGAGCTATAGGGGACAGAGCCATGCATGACAGCTGAGGGTCCACATCGTAGAGATTGACCAGATCTTGCCTTTGATGAGTCCTGGAACCATACCTTGAGAGGGGTTATCTCTTACATGCACATATTGGTTGTGCATCTGGTGAGTGCACAATCTTTTACCAGTTTTGGATATCACCATACATCACCTTTTTGGCTATCACCGTGTGTCAATAGAGATCCATTTGATCCTTCACCTCACCCTACCCACTGGGAGATTGTGAACTATATATTTGTGTGTTAATTGAGACTATAAGGGGCAGTATAACAACTATACCCTGCCTGCGTTTTGCAGGGATATACTCTTGCATTTTGATATCTTGCATGTTTTAATATATAAGCGCTGCACCTTTTTTATATATAAGCCATAACACCTGCAAAGGGTTCCTGAGCCTTTAAATGGTCTCTCAGTCTGGTTCAGTAGGAACCACAATCATGGGAAAGACTGCTGACCTGACAGTTGTGCAGAAAACCATCATTGACACCCTCCATAAGGAGGGAAAGCCTCAAAAGGTAATTGCAAAAGAAGTTGGATGTTCCCAAAGTGCTGTATCAAAGCACATTAATAGAAAGTTATGTGGAAGGGAAAAGTGTGGAAGAAAAAGGTGCACAAGCAGCAGGGATGACCGCAGCCTGGAGAGGATTGTCAGGAAAAGGCCATTTAAAAGTGTTGGGGACTTTCACAAGGAGTGGACTGAGGCTGGAGTCAGTGCATCAAGAGCCACCACACACAGACGGATCCTGGACATGGGCTTCAAATGTCGTATTCCTCTTGTCAAGCCGCTCCTGAACAACAAACAATGTCAGAAGCGTCTTACCTGGGCTAAAGAAAAACAGACCTGGTCTGTTGCTCAGTGGTCCAAAGTCCTCTTTTCTGATGAGAGCAACTTTTGCATCTCATTTGGAAACCAAGGACCCAGAGTATGGAGGAAGAATGGAGAGGCACACACTGCAAGATGCTTGAAGTCCAGTGTGAAGTTTCCACAGTCTGTGTTGTTTTGGGGAGCCATGTCATCTGCTGGTGTTGGTCCACTGTGCTTCATTAAGTCCAGGGTCAACGCAGCCGTACCAGGAGATTTTGGAGCACTTCATGCTTCCTTCGGCAGACGAGCTTTATGGGGTTGCTGACTTCATTTTCCAGCAGGACTTGGCACCTGCCCACACTGCCAAAAGCACCGAAACCTGGTTCAATGACCGTGGGATTACTGTGCTTGATTGGCCAGCAAACTCTCCTGACCTGAACCCCATAGAGAATCTATGGGGCATTGCCAAGAGAAAATTGAGAGACATGAGACCGAACAATGCAGAAGAGCTGAAGGCCGCTATTGAAGCATCCTGGTCTTCCATAACATCCTCAGCAGTGCCACAGGCTGATAGCTTCCATGCCACGCCGCATTGAGGCAGTAATTGCTGCAAAAGGGGCCCAAACCAAGTACTGAGTACATATGCATGCTTATACTTTTCAGAGGTCTGATATTGTTCTATGTACAATCCTTGTTTTTTTGATTGCATATAATATTCTAATTTTCTGAGATTGTGGATTTGGGATTTTCATGAGCTGTAAGCCATAATCATCACAATTATGACAAATCACGGCTTGAACTATCTTGCTGTGCATGTAATGAGTCTATCTCATATATTAGTTTCACCTTTTAAGTTTTATTACTGAAATAAATGAACTTTTGCACGATATTCTAATTTTTCGAGTTTCACCTGTATATTTAGCTGCTGATTAAATTCTTCTTGCCTCCATTTCCTAGTGCTCCATCAGGTGAACAGGGGAAAGAAAACAATTGTGCAGCCTCTGAACACAGACCAGACCAAAACATTCAAATAAAGCTCCACTCGTTGCAGTGAGCCCGAACTAAATTTACCTACGCTAACACTTATGCTATAACCCAAACAAATGCCAGCTCCTCTGGGTAAAGTGAGCCAAACTAAATTTGTCCAATAGAACCAATTAACCCTATTGGCTACAATGGGCCTAAACTAAATTTACCTATCCTAGCACCTGACAAGAAGGATGCTACATATGTAATTATGATATGACATTAGGTGAAGACTTAAAGCGTACCTGCATGGAGCTCTCATGTAAAGTAACCCGCTGATGTGTGGATATTTTCCTTAAAACTTCAATGTGGAACCTGTCATTTATAGCAGCTGGAAGATGGAGAAGGCTGTGTTCATATATTATAGTGCTATGCCCTTAGTAGCCATTTGTTAGGCCCTTCTGCTAATAATGACCTGCCTTGTACCTGGATGCAGGAATCACCAACACACCAGTAACCAATTAATGGATTTTACTAAAACAAGTAAAAGCCCTGGAAGGGTAGTTTGAGATAGAAAATTCATTTTAGACTGTGTTAGAATAATCTCAACTACTAGCACAGGCAATGTCCGACAACAGCACAATTTAAAAAAAAAAAAAAAAAGACTCTAATATTCTAAGACTCTAAAATTCTGAATTGGTATACCAGCAGCCAAAAAATACACAGTGGTAGCTCTTAGATTGTAAGCTCCAGGGAGCGGGGCCCTCCTAACCCTCTTGTATTGAACTATATTGTCTCCTGTTACATTGTAAAGCGCTGAGCAAACTGTTGGCGCTATATAAATCTTGTATTATAATAATAATAATAGTCCTTTGGCCTTTCATCACCCTGTCACTCTGGTGATATTCCATTGAATGCAGTCTTTCTCAACAGTCACATCTATGGATAGGATGATTGCTGATTAGGCAGCAGTATCTTCAACTGGATGAAGACCTCTGTGATCTCAGCAACTGGATGAGGTCATGCAAAAGGCAGCCCGCAAGGCTCTGGTCTTGATCTCATGCCTTAACCGCCCTGGTGATCCATGGAACTCTATTCTTGTGACTTGGCCCTATGTTGCTCTGCCAGAGTTCTCTCTCTGAACCCTTGGCACACACAGCAGCTCTGACCACAGCAAACTCGTAGTCGTTTCTTTCCTAGAAGTACCGAAACTGTAGCATGCCACACAGTCCTTTTGGCTCCCATGCAATAGCCTTCTCCACAGGCTCTGCTTCAGGCTCACTTTGCCCAGCCACTGCACACCACAACTTGTTGAACTTTTGGCAGCCATGAGCCCTGGGTACACTTCTGGGTTTACAGTCCGGGCTGTCTTCTCCTTTTGCTTCCTTTTGCTTCCAGCCCTCTTACTTGGCTCTGTCTTTCTTCCCTATGTTTGGTCTTGTAGGGAGTGCCAGGGGCTACAGGCCTGACTACCATGGGGACACATAAGAAACCTCCTGCCCCCATTGCTAGGGGTGGGCATCATCCTAGGCTATTGATTGGCACAACAATATGATTCTGCCATAGTCGCACCTCAATGATAGCACACGTTTTGTACATACTGTGCCCTTTGTCCATATTATACTCACTATAGTAAATCTTTTGATGCCTTATCACCACTTACACCCTAGTTCTCTTGCTGAACCTAGCCATAAATGTCTGGAGGGAGACAGAAGAGGGAAGCAGAATAAAGAAATGGTTATCGCAATTTGTTCATTTTGAGACTTGGTACTGGCCCATGAGTGTCAAATGAAGCACTACTTCTGTAGGAGCCGCAGGAATACAGTCCAGGTCCTCCCCAGTTATTTTGCCCTGCAGTCAGGCACATTTCACCAATAACCAGGTTAGGGATGTTTTGTGTGGTTTTTTTTTTTTTTTAAATTGGATAGGGATGAGGGAGATGAGTGGGATTTTCCAGTAATAGGAACTATGTACATTGAGGACTTTATCTTCAGGGCAAGCTATGTCATAATCCATGCTACAGTGGACTTAAGCTTTAAGGCAGTAGTAAAAAAGTAGTCGTAACAGTAGCAGCAGTAATAATCATACCGCCAGGGAGGTTAATACAGCGGAAGCCAGGAACACTAGCAGCACACAGAGTAGACCTAACTAAATGATCATAGCTCACCAAGTACTATGAGCTAACTATGCTTTTTTCCTAACAAATATTTACAGCCACTCTATCTATCTAACCCTAGCACCTACCTAGGAGGATGCTACATGTAAATACAACCCTGCCAATGTATGTAGACATTTAACTTTTTCATCCTTCCAAAGAGCAGTGAAATGTTGGGCATTGCTTGCACAAAGTGTACACCACCTGGAGGAGCTAGTTATTCTGTAGGTAGGTCAGCAACATCCCAATATTAGCTAAGGCATGCAGACATGATAACCAAAGTGTTTTTGACCGTCTTCGTAGTTTTACTGCTGTAGAAATAATGGTTTACTGTCAAAGCCATAGTACAAACTTGTAAACTCGTTCTGAATTCCATTATAGTTTAGTATGCTTGGCATGCAGAAGCTAAAGAGCTCCAAACTGAGGTAAAAGTGACAATGATGTGGACCTGTTATTAGACAATGACAGTAAAGTGACATTTATTAACAAGGGTCACCTTGGAATCTGCAAACTGCGCACAATCCAACTGACTCCATACTTGAACAGTTACAGTGAGGAACAGAAGTATTTGAACACCCTGCGATTTTGCAAGTTCTCCTACTTAGAAATCATGGAGGGGTCTGAAATTCACATTGTAGGTGCATTCCCACTCTGAGAGGCAGAATTTAAAAAAAAATACAGGAAATCACATTGTATGATTTTTTTTAAATAATTTATTTGTCGGGCACTGCTGAACATAAGTATTTGAACACCTAAGAAACAGCAAGAATTTTGGCTCTCAAAGACCTGTTACTGTGCCTTTAAAAAGTCCACCTCTACTCCACTCATTAATCTAACTTAGTAGCACCTGTCTGAGCTCTTTAAAGACACCTGTCCACCCCACAGTCAGTCAGACACCAACTACTACCATGGGCAAGACCAAAGAGCTGTCAAAAAACACCAGAGACAAAATTGTGGACCTTCACAAGGCTGGAAAGGGCTACAGGGCAATTGCCAAGCAGCTTGGTGAAAATAGATCAACTGTTGGAGCAATTGTTAGAAAATGGAAGAGGCTAAAGACGACTGTCAGTCTCCCTCGGACTGGGGCTCCATGCAAGATCTCACCTCGTGGGGTATCACTGATGATAAGAAAGGTGAGGAATCAGCCCAGAACTACAAGGGAGGAGCTGGTCAATGACATGAAGAGAGCTGGGACCACAGTTTCAAAGGTCACTGTCGGTAGAACACTACGCCGTCATGGTTTCAAATCATGCATTGCACGGAAAGTTCCCCTGCTCAAGTCATCACATGTCCAGGCCCATCTGAAGTTTGCCAATGACCATCTGGATGATCCAGAGGAGGCATAGGAGAAAGTCATGTGGTCAGATGAGACCAAAGTAGAACTTTTTGGTCTAAACTTCACTCGTCGTGTTTGGAGGAAAAAGAAGGATGAGTTGCATCCCAAGAACACCATCCCTACTGTGAAGCATGGGGGTGGTAACATCATGCTTTGGGGGTGCTTTTCTGCGAAGGGGACAGGACGACTGCACTGTATTAAGGATGAATTGGGCCATTTATTGTGAGATTTTGAGCAACAACCTCCTTCCCTCAGTCAGAGCATTGAAGATGGGTCGTGGCTGGGTCTTCCAACATGACAACGACCCGAAGCACACAGCCAGGATAACCAAGGAGTGGCTCCGTAAGAAGCATATCAAGGTTCTGGAGTGGCCTAGCCAGTCTCCAGACCTAAATCCAATAGAACATCTTTGGAGGGAGCTGAAACTCTGTGTTGCTCAGCAAAAGCCCCGAAACCTGACAGATCTAGAGGAGATCTGTGTGGAGGAGTGGGCCAAAATCCCTGTTGCAGTGTGTGCAAACCTGGTCAAGAGCTACAGGAAACCTTTGACCTCTGTAATTGCAAACAAAGGCTCCTGTACCAAATATTAACACTGATTTTCTCAGGTGTTCAAATACTTATGTTCAGCAGTGCAAGACAAGTAAATTCTTTAAAAATCATACAATGTGATTTCCTGAATTTTGTTTTTAAATTCTGTCTCTGAGTGGGAATGCACGTACAATGTGAATTTCAGACCCCTCCATGAATTCTAAGTGGGAGAACTTGCAAAATCGCAGGGTGTTCAAATACTTCTGTTCCTCACTGTATGTGGCTTCCCCAAAAACTTTAGAAAAATCGCACCTTGCCACATATCAACACTAACCTCCACCAGCAGCCAGAACAGAAAAGTGTAGACACAGGTGACCACAACTAGATGTCTTTTATGTACACACCCTAAAGAAGAATATCCACTTGATATATTTTACAATGCATAGTAAATTTGATTTAAATGTAGATGCTGGAAAATAAACCATCTGACAGTTTTAGTGCTGCGGCCTTAAGGAAGTCCTACCCTCCTTGTTGGACTTTTATTTGTTTTAGATTATAGAGAATACAACAAAAGTTGATGGTACAGTCAAAAGCAGGCACAATCAAATCTCCCAGGTCGACAGGAATAGTATCAAGGAACCATATAAGTCTCACTGTTGGAACATCCAAGACTTATAAGAAGCAATGGGTTAAATGGGCACACTGAGCTCCACCCAGGGGCGGACTGACAACTCATGGGGCCCCTGGGCAATAGGGGATCATGGGGCCCCTGTGTCCTTGCCCAAACTCAAAAAAGCCTATAAAAAAGGTACCAGGGGCATCTCATGGGGCCCCCTACTGACCCCGGGCCCTTCGGGCATTGCCGAGTTTCCAAATGGTCTGTCCACCCCTGGCTCCACCCATAACTTAAAATGAACCTTTGTACAGATTATGCACACTTGGATGTTTACAGATTCTGATTCAGGCAAAGCACTGTAAACAAGCCTTCACTCACCTCTGCATTTAAAAGCATGAAGGAGAAATTGAAGCGGAAGATAACTCAACCCATCCCTCCCCCACCCCCATTTTTTTCCTTGTACCATGCCACCATCTTCTTCTGAAATCACAAGGGTGTCCTGCGGTCTCTTCCAAGTTTTGCAGCTTGCCTGTGATCAGGGACAATATTGAGGCAGTGGCAAAAACCATGAACCCCCCTCCCCCCCATGACGAGGCTCATGTGCTGTAGAGTTTCCTGGGACCTATGACAATGGTATCCCAAGAGACTGTGGGCACAGTAATGCAATTCTGGCCTAGGCCAGCAAAGGAGGAGGGGTCTCCAAAAAAAAAAAAGTTATCCACCCCACAAAAAATTATTCCGTTAGAGGAGGGGGCAGGAGGAGAATTTATATAGAGTTGATAGGAAGGGTAGAGTTCCACTTTAAAAAGGTCACAACACAAGCACAACCTCCTTCTGCAAACAAAAAAGAATCTTGGCACCCGCTAACCTTTTTAATGAATACGCAGTGAAAGGTGGGGGGGGGGGGGGTACTAAAACTGGAGCATGCAAAATCGGGTGCAGCACTGCATACAAACCAATCAGCTTCCACTTTTTTTTTTTGTCAAAGCTTAATTGAACAAGCTAAAAGTTGGAAGCTGATTGGCTACCATGCACAGGTGTATCAGTGCAGATTCAGAGTTCTCCAGTTTTAGTAAATTCCCTCCTTCCCCAGTAAGTGTTTGTAAGCAGTTAAAAACAACCTGAAAATCAAATCAACAATTTTTGTGCTGCTCTTTGAGGATCTTTTGCCCTTTTCATGGCCAGATAGGAGGTGATTAAAATACTTGGCTGAACTGCGGTTTTAGAATCCAGCTACAAGTTAAAGATTTTTTTTTTTTTTTAACCACTTGCCTACCGGGCACCTATACCCCCTTCCTGCCCAGGCCAATTTTCAGCTTTCAGCGCTGTCACACTTGGAATGACAATTGCGCGGTCATGCAAAACTGTACCCATATGAAATTTTTATCATTTTTTTGAGACAGAGATTTCTTTTGGTGGTTTTTAATTGTTTGCTAAACAAACCAAAAACAAATGAAAATTTTGACAAAAAGAGTTTTTTCTTAGTTTTTGTTTTAAAATTTTGTAAATAAGTGATTTTTCTCCTTCACTGATATTCGCTAATGAGGCTGCACTGATGGGCACTGATGAGGAGGCACTGGTAGGTGGCACTGATGGGCATTGACAGGCATCTCTGATGGGCACTGAAAGGCAGCACTCATATATGGCACTGATAGGTGGCACTGATGCGCACTGATATATAGGCGGCACTGACTGGCACTGATAGGTGGCATTGGCAGCACTGATAGGTGGCACTGACTGTCATTGATAGATGGCACTGACTAGCACTGATAGGTGACACTGAAAGGCAGCTCAGATGAGCACTGATATGTGGCATTGATGTGCACTGGAAGGCACTGATATGTGGCACTGATGGGCACTGGAAGGTGGCACTGATGAGCACTGACAGTTGGTATTGATGGACACTGACAGGTGGCACTGCTGGGGCTACACTGATCATCAGTGCACTGATGATCAGTGTACATGTCTCCTCCGAGGAATGCCGATTACTGGCTCTCCTCTCCTCTCGAGCTGTCAGCGTGACAGCTCATGAGGAGAGAAATGCCGATAACCCGCATTTCCCTATTTACATGAGATCAGCTGTGATTGGACACAGCTGATCACATGACCGAGCCGAAATCTTCGGCTTTTTCCGTTGATTGGTGATCTGCTGTGTCTAAGGGACACAGCGCATCGCTGCACTGCGCGCTCCCGGAGCCGCGCAGGCGTGGTTAGAATGGGATGACATCCTCCCAGAACGAGAGAACCACCTTGCGCCCGTCATTGCCTTATATGGCGGGCGGGAGGTGGTTAAATTCCAAACATGTTATACTTTCTCTCTGTGATGGTTTTGCACAGAGAAGCCCCAAGCTGCTTCTTTTTGGGTCCCCCGCTCCTCCCAACCCCCCCCCCCCTCCACCCCCAGCCTAGTCTTCCCCCAAAAACATGCCTCCTTGCTATGGGGGCACTTGAGCATGCTCACTCCCAAGCCACGCTACTGTGAATAGATATTGTCCATTCACACACAGAACATGGCTTGGCCCCACCCCGCCCTCTGTTCTTTCCTTATTGACTCACTGGCTTTGACACTGTGAGCCATTGAGGAGGAGAGAGAAACCCGGGAGAGCTGTGGCTCTCATGCACATCGCTAGAGGGAGATGGGGCTCAGATAAGTATTGGGGGGGGGGCTGAGTGGGGATGAGCTGCAGTCAGAAGGAGGGGTGCTGCAGCCAGAAGGGGTTTTTTACCTTAATGCATTAAGGTGAAAAATCTTCTGCCTTTAGAACCACTTTAATGTGACCATGTTAGTACCTACTGCCTCAATTATAGAGGCAAATTTATACAGGTCACATCTGGCAGGCATTAACAACACCCCCCATCCCCGAATGCCTGGGCGCTGCTGCTCTACCACTCCCTGAAAAGAGATTCACCGCAGACCACATTTTAGAGAGTGGAGATCATGTAAAGGAAAGGAGCCCTTTGAAAATTAATTCCTTCACAGTACAAACGGCTAGAGAGGTCAGGGATGGCTTGTGTTAGGGCATGTTCATACAAAGTGCAGTGACTGTGACTGTGTTCTTCTGCACTAGTCAATTTTTTATGTACCCAATTCACACTGTAATGCAGCCCGAAGTGAGATACAGTGAGCTGTGATAAAATGCAGAGATGCGTCATTTTATTGTGGTGACATGTGTCCCAGAGCACTGGATGGTACTGCACATGCTGCTGTGCAATCACATACATGATGTGTCACTTTGTGCAAATAAAGAAGAAAAGAGGTTCTGTGTGATGCACTGAAAAGCGCATCACATCGCAGCTCACTGCAGCTGAAACTGACAACTGCCTGCAGAGAAACCCACTCTGATATAGTGTGCAGGCTCTAAAAGCTCTTTTTTACTGCTAGTTTCAAATCTATAAATACTTAATGTCCATTGTCTGGGAACAGATGCACCTTTTTAAATATAGTTTTTTAGGAGGACTGACCCTTTTAGCAGTTAGGTTTGAATAGTAGTTACAATACAGTTAAATGGTGCAATTTAAGTAAATGTAATTTTCTGCGTGCTTGCAAACCTTTATGATGACTTATTTTACATTACATTTCTTTTGGATCCATAAAGTGATAGTCCTCACCAACCAGGTAACTTTTACTCCACTTCATTTTCTGTGCATTTATCATACCATGCATAATGATTAGCTTAACATATATTATAATAAAAACATGATTGTGTGTCTTCATTTCATGCAAAGCTTTTTTTTTTGTCTGTACCTGTACCTAAAGGCAGCAGAAGAGTTATTTGTTTCGATTTACATCAGGGGTCCTCATTCTATGGCCCGTGGGCCAGATATGGCCCACCAAAGACATTTACCCGGGCCGGCCAAACAAAAAAAAAAAACAAATTGGAGGAAAAAAAGAGGAGATATCACCAGGTACAGTGCATTTTGGTGTCCAGTGCGTTACAGTGCATTTTGGTGTCCAGTGCGTTACAGTGCACAGTGCATTTTGGTGTCCAGTGCGTTACAGTGTACAGTGCATTGTGGTGTTCAGTGCATTGCGGTGTTCAGTGCATTTTGGTGTCCATTTCGTTAGTGTGCAGTTTGGTGTCCAGTGCGTTACAGTGCATTTTGGTGTCCAGTGCGTTACAGTGCATTGCGGTGTCCAGTGCGTTACAGTGTCCAGTGCATTGCGGTGTTCAGCGCTACAGTGTACAGTGCATTTTGGTGTCCAGTGCGTTACAGTGTACAGTGCATTTTGGTGTCCAGTGCGTTACAGTGTACAGTGCACTTTGGTGTCCAGTGCGTTACAGTGTACAGTGCATTTTGGTGTCCAGTGCATTACAGTGCATTTTGGTGTCCAGTGCGCAGTGCATTTTTGTGTCCAGTGCGTTACAGTGTACAGTGCATTGCGGTGTTCAGTGAGTTACAGTGTACAGTGCATTTTGGTGTCCAGTGCGTTACAGTGCATTTTGGTGTCCAGTGCGTTACAGTGCATTTTGGTGTCCAGTGCATTACAGTGCAGGTCGGTGTCCAGTGCATTACAGTGCATTTTGGTGTCCAGTGCGTTACAGTGCATTTTGGTGTCCAGTGCGTTACAGTGCATTTTGGTGGTCCAGTGCGTTACAGTGCATTTTGGTGTCCAGTGCATTACAGTGCAGGTTGGTGTCCAGTGCGTTAGTGCACAGTGCATTTGGGTGTCCAATGCGTTAGTGTACAGTGCATTGCGGTGTTCAGTGCGTTACAGTGCATTGAGGTGTTCAGTGCGTTGCAGTTTACAGTGCATTTTGGTGTCCATTTCATTAGTGTGCAGTTTGGGACCCAGTGTGTTACAGTGCACAGTGCATTGCGGTGTCCAGTGAGTTACAGTGCATTGCAGTGTGCATTGTGGTGTCCAGTGCATTACAGTGTATTTTGGTGTCCAGTGCATTGCGATGTTCAGTGTGTTACAGTGCAGTTTGGTGTCCAGTGCGTTACAGTGCATTGCGGTGTCCAGTGCATTAGTGTACAGTGTATTTTAAATGGTTTTTTTTTCCTGTTTTCTTGCACTACAAATACGATATGTGCGATGTGCATAGGAATTTGTTAAAAAAAAAATTTAAACTATAGTCTGGCCCCCCAACAGTGTGAAGGTTCGTGAACTGGCCCCCTGTTTATAAAGTTTGAGGACCCCTGATAAAACGGATGAGCAATCTTATTTGACGCTTTGGTTAACTGGAGAATAAATGTATCGAGCATTTTAATTTGTAACTTTTTTTGTAACTGTAATTTTTGTTGGCATGTGACATTGGTGACTCAGTTTTTGTGTGTTACAAGTGACATTGCTTACTGCAGAAGGTTGGTTAAATTTGAATCGTAAATTGTTAAAATACCAGATAAATGGAAGAAATGTACATTGCTGAGCAGGCAGGTATTTAGAGACTTACAATGCGGAAGCTGGGTGACACTTTGAGTGGCTGCAAGAAGGAGCGACACTGCAGGACTTTTTCCCTCGGACACTGATAATGAGTAGGATAAGGTAGGTTTGTCAGCCTAGCAATGCAGCCTTCATTATGCAAACCTCACAGTGAGAACACTAATAGACAGGAGAAGGGGATTAGACCCATGTGATTTGGTATTTTCATCACTGTCTAGCAACATTTTCGAATATGTATTAGATCTCAGACACAACATATCTACTGAGTGACTAGCCACTGGTCTCAGCCAAGGGAGGGGCACCACTCCTAGTAGTGAATGGAATTTGCATGGTTCAATGAAAGCTCACTTCTTTGTTCCTGTATAGGCTATACAAATACGTCACCATGGGAGCTCAAAAAAATTGGATGCAGAATCTGGAAATTCAGTAATACAGTTATATAGTGGTGTTTCATTTGTGTTGCCCCTATTATTTCTGACACCGTCACCACTAGCTCTTATTTCTGACACCGTCACTTAGCCTATCCAGTCTGCAAGGAAAAGAGTTGATCAACTTTGCGCAACAAAAAGGGATGTATGAGCTCAGCTCACTAAATGGCTGCAAAAACTATGGAACACATTCACTTAGGTGTCAGATAAGGTTCACCAATCGCTGTCACTTTGGTTTTTTTTTTATTTATTTATTTCACTTTATTGGATGGTTGACATCACTTCCTTGCACTCTATTAAATCAGGCCCCATATGTTGTGTGTTTTTTGTTTTTGTTTTTTTCCCACTTAAATCCACTGGTTATACGGAGAGAAGGGTTTGGTGGAAAAAATAAAAACTACACCCTTTTAGTAACTCACACCCTTCGTTGTAATACTGTGAGTCAGTACCAGGGCTGGGCTCACAGGTAGTTTTATTGTAAGTGTAAATAAGAAATAGCAGTTACCATGATATAATGGTGTTTTTCATTTCAAATATTCCAGTTTCACCGGGTATGACAATCACTTGCTACTCTCGGTTGAGTGTAATAGTAATTTCAGTAAAACCAACAGTTTCATTTTCATGCATATTTGAAAAACTTTCATGACCTATCATGAAATGTCTTGTCTGCTCACCCTATTGGCCACTGAGAGAACTTCTAAAAAGGTCTACTGTCTAGGCATTACCCTAGTGCAGCAAATATGTGTCTGAATGTTTAAAGTGTTACTATTCCCAGTTCCCTGCATCTACTATATCTGGTCTCTCACAGTACACAGAACATGGAAATGCAATTATTGTAGTAACTATAAACTGCTAAATACCTTTTCTCATCAGAAGTTAGAGCAGTCGTGTGACTTCTATCAGTGTTCAGCCAAGCACTAGCTAAAGCTTGTAGGAGGAGTTTTCTTTCTGCTCTAGGAGAATGCAAAACCCCTGATCTCTGTCTGACTAGTACTGATTGACCCTGTGCTGATCACATGCACTCTCCCAAGAAAAAGAAAAAAAAAACCCTCTCTAGCAATACACACCAAACTGAGCATACGCCCTTCGGTTCAGTCTGTCTTATCAGGAGATGGTCGCTTGAAAAAACGGAGGAACAGAGAAGACAGGATCAAATGGCCTTTTTACACAATTCGGAGGATTAACCCTTTAGGTTCCACGGGGAGTATAACAAGCATGCTTTATTGCATATACAGATTGATTTTACTGTTGTGGGTTTAGTAACACTTTAGCAGCTGCTAAAACCATT